TGTATTGTTTTTTACAAGTTATGGATGTTGTATTTTCTTTTTACCAATAAAATCTTTTTTAAAAAATTTAAAAAAAAAAATCCTCCCCCTGGATTACAGGGACAGAACGGGAACACCAATATAAGACTTGAGCCATTTAGGTTTAGAATAGAGGCAGGGATTAGAAAGGGGGGAATATTATGTATATTACAGAATAATAAATGGAAGGGACCTTGGAGGTCTTCTAGTCCAACCCCCTGTTTAGGCAGGAAACCCTACACCACTGTAGACAAATGGTCGCCCAATTCCAGACTTCACCTCCCTGCCTTTTCCTAATCTGGGCCTCCAGAGAAGAAAGATAAGACTTGAGCCATTTAGGTTTAGAATAGAGGCAGGAATTAGAAAGAGGGGAATATTATGTATATTACAGAATAATAAATGGAAGGGACCTTGGAGGTCTTCTAGTCCAACCCCCTGTTTAGGCAGGAAACCCTACACCACTGTAGACAAATGGTCGCCCAATTCCAGACTTCACCTCCCTGCCTTTTCCTAATCTGGGAAAGAAAGGACCCTGCTGAATACAGATTACTATTATTTAAGATCAAATGTGCTAAATTACTGAACTTCTTTGTTCTGAGCCTTATGACCGTTTAGTTTTTCATCCCGTGTTATTTTATTGGGAATGTCTTCATTGGGTTCCTTCCTGCCCTTTTGAATTATAAATAGGCATTTGCGTAAAGAAGCTTTTATTAGAATGTATGTACTGGTTTTTAATACACTTAAGGGATTTGAGAAGGGTGTATATATCTCTAGTATCCACCTTATTGTTTATTTTTTTAAAATTTGTGTTTATAAACTAAGAATGGGTTAAGTGTTTTGGCTAGAGGGCAAAGCGAAAGCACGTTAAAAGCAGCACCTTGCGCCATTCCGATCAATAAGCCAAAAAAAAACCCACCACATTTTCCAACTGTGATTTATACTCTTCTAAAGTTTTTTTGCTATAATGGGCACAGACTGCTAAGACAGAAATAAGCCATCTGGCATTATGAGTCCTTGCATGTTATGGATTTTGTGGGCTTTAGGATTCTGCCAGAGGTTGAAAAAGAGAAAGATTCTCTTTTGAATTTTGCGCGCTTCCCAGTATTAGCACTTGCGGTGGTAGGAATTTCCAGCTGCCGTGATTCTCTTTTTCCGGGCTATTTATTGCTTTGCAATTTTTAAATGTTGTAAAATGTGGATTTTCTAGATTTGATCTGATTTGTGAAGCTTTTTGTGTGTTTTTTTGCAATTTTCATGCAAGATCTGAGAATTGTTTAAAGAGCTCTTCCAGATTGAGAAAAGCTGGCTTAGTGCAGTCTGTGAACATTGTGATTAATTTTATATAGAATTCAGAAAAAAGTGTTCTATGTAATATTTATTTCTTACTGTTTATTTTCCTCCTGTTTTCACTTTGATGTTCCATAACTACCTTGGAAAAAGTTAAGGTGCAACTTTAAAACCTTGGTGATTTTGTTCTGGGTTTAGGTTAAAATGTTTTAATTAGGACATTTGTTTCTAATTTTGTAATTAGGATATCGTTATAACTGACTCATTTTTTTGCACTGATGATATAACCAGGGTAATAAAACATCTGCAAAAAAAAACCAACCAAGTTCAGAAAGCACCAAGAATTCTTCATTTCAATCCTGAACTACAAATATTCTCCTTTATTAGTGACTGCTTTTTCTTAGACTCTTCAGTTTGTGCTTTATTAAACAATGCCTAGTTTCCCATTATTTATATGCTACTATTACAGTTTAGATGTATTAATAGTTGATATTTTATTTCTGTCTACCATAGATGCACTGCTACTCCTTCACTGGAAAAATGTTTTTCAAAATATTTTAGTTCTGACAGTTCTCCAAAGCGTCCTCAGTCATCATACCTTACTTTTCTAAATAAACAGCGTGACTTTTACAAGAAAAAATATCCAGGTAAGTTTGTCTATAAAGTTAAGAAATTAGTTTCCTTGATAGCTATTTAATTTACTTTTATTGAATTTAGTTGTAATCAGTTCAGAGTTGGGCAGGTTATAAATATTGTAAAAATATTTGTGAGTAAACTAAAATAAATTCCACAAAAATCTGTTATATGTTATGCATATACCTCCCCCCACCCCAAAAATAAGACCCCTATGCCTCTGCCTGGCTGCTGGACCTGCAGCACCTCCTGCTGCTGGTCTCGCAGGGGTTCTTTGCCCTCCTGTCCATGCTACTCTCAGCTGCCCTGCTGGGCTGCTCCTGCCCGATGCAGGGTAACTCGGCTCAGATCCCTCCCTCCCCTGTGCAAGCTCCGTAACGGCCCTACAGTGGGTTTGGGAGGGGAGACTGCCCCTTTCTCCTTTGCACCCCCAAACCCCAACTTCCCTGGTTGCTGAGCCCCCAGCCTGCATCCCTCGCTGGAGCAAGATGCAAGGCTAGAGGCCAGACAGGAGCTCCTGCCCACTGAAGTGTGGCTGCATCCCTCCTTGGAGGCTCTGCAACAAGACAGACAGATGGAAGAAGGAGGGGATGTTGCCCCTTCCTCCTTTGTGCCCTAAAACCCCATTTTCCCTGGCAGCTGAGCCGGCCCAGGTGGGACGAGGTTGGTCAGTGGAGGTCTCCAACCTTGCAATCCTGCAGAGGGAAGGCAGAGGTGGCCAGTGAGGGTGTAGAGGCCTCCAGCCTTGTAATCCTATGTAGGGAAGGTAGAGGTTTGCTCTGGAGCTGCAGCAGAGCATTGCACGGAGAGGCCTCCATAGGTAATATTGAGTTACATGTCTTGCTCCAATGAGAAGGCTGCAGGACCGCAATGGAGCTCACGCAGGACAGGGAGTGGCACAGCCCAAAGGCAATGGTGGATGAGGCACTCGGGAGTTCATAGGTCTGGGCTGAATTGCCCTGC